TAGATTCACCAATTTTGTCAAGACATAGCAGTAATGGACCGTTATGATAGCAACCAGCATTGTCTGATCTTAAATATGCCTTATTAATGCTTGGATATTCTGCTTTGATGGTACGGAAAAGATGATCAAAAATCGATGCGATCGCATAGCTGTCCTGAGTACATGAATTCAATATATGAACAAAGCACTTGACTTCAAACTTTCCATCTTTCTTGGTTACAACAGCACTAACGTGCCAGCTCCGTCCACGCTTTCCAAAGAACTCACACATATTTTCTCTGAACTTGAGGGGCAGGAACTTCATTGCCCAATCAACRATAATGAGACAAGTCTCACTATCTAGATTATTAAGGGCAGCTTGCTTTGCTTCTTCTTGGAGCACTGTTCTTACCAAGTGCGCTTTCCATGCATAAATAGCAGCCTGACACTGATCGAAATCAAACTTCATTCTGTTCCTCTGATCATCACGGATGTCTGCACTGTTAATTTTGGCCCTGATTTCGTCCAGCACAACCTCTAAAGATTCACAACGTTCACACTCAACATCGATCGTTCTTAGGAACGGCAACTATACTACTGGTTTCCCTAGGATGGCTAAAAATACGCCTGCTTTAAAAACAGTACTAGACCGAGGGATCAGTACTGTACATTGTTCGGTCTAGTTCCAATATTAGGCTGGTTAACATTTCCGGTAATTCCCGTCCAGTGATCGCATACAACATGCTGTACGGGCAAAATGAGAATATTTCTGTCATTCACGATTCTGTGTAGCGAATGCGTAGTAAAGTATAAAAACACGAAACGTGGTATTTATACCAATTTACCGGAAAAGTTTGACAAAATCGAACAATCATATCTTTTTTCTGTTTCTTTACATTAATTGAACTCATCTTGTCAAGCTACTACTATATAACCAGCAATCTTTTTTTAGTTCTTTATATGAGAAATATTTGTTTTGGGTAAGGGGTTAAGAGGGGTTAAACCAAGCACTGACAGATTGGTTAACAGGATTTAATCCGTTGTCATGACAATTTTCGGATTTGTACATCCCCTGTGGTGAGCTTTCAAAGTCGACTGAAGCTCCTCATGTTAATAGTTATTTTTAACCTGCCAGAGCAATAATTTTGACAAAATACACCCTCTTGTCCCACTCGATGGAATTGTATTTTCCTTCAGAAACTTGACTTTGCTTCAAACGCTTATAAGTTTTTATAATACTGGCCTCCTCCGTTTCGATGAAAACCACTAGTGCATATTTATGACGCTTCGTGTCTGTTCGTGACAGCATTCTTCAAGTGATTTAATACTTTTTTTGCAGAGTGTTTTCAATTTTTCTTTAATTGAAGAAAGCAATGTACTTACGTTCTAAGCTTGACACTCCAGTCTAACACTCTTCGATGCATTGCAAGGTCGAGTGGAATTTTTCCGCTCAAGCAGAATTCCGTAGCTGGAATTCCGCTAGGTGGAAAAGCRGTGTGCAGAAAATCCTGAAAATGCGTCTTTCCGTGTAGCAGAAAAAGTGGAAATATTTCCGTGAGGCAGCTTTCTTATATGAAAAGGCAGAAAATTAAACTCGACACAAATTTTAAATCACAATTTTTTTGTGTAATGCTAGTTATCTAAACATAACTTATGATACATTTCACGCAGAAAAACACAACAAACATTAATTAATAGTCATTTTTATGGACAACAAGCTCAGTTTCTTTAAAATTGTATTTGTTCTTTCTCTATAGTTCAACCAAATAATACAATACCTCGAGTGATCTAGGTCGGAATCGGCGGAAAGTAAGTAAATTTCGTACTATGCATATAAAATCATTCGTTTTCAAAACTAAAACTTCTTTTGTGGTCAATTGTTCTTATATATTTGGGTTGTCCATAGTCCAAACATTAATTGCG